ACCTTATAGCAGAGAAACATTTGGCATTTGTTTTTTTGGGATTGGCTAACTTCACTTAGCATTATATTCTCCAGCTCCATTCATTTACCTGCAAATRCTATGATTTTATTCTCTTTTAATGCTGAATAATATTCCATTGTATGTATATACCACATTTTCTTTATCCATTCATCTACTGAAGGGCATCTAGGTTGTTTCCACAGTTTAGCTCTTATGAATAGTGCTGCTATTGATGTGTCTGTGTCCTGTAGCATGCTGTTTTTAAGTCCTTTGGGTATAGACTGAGGAGTGGGATAGCCGGGTCAAATGGTGGTTCCATTCCCAGTTTTCCAAGGAATATCCATACTGCTTTTCATATTGGCTGCACCAATTTGCAATCCGATCAACAGTGTATGAGTGTGCCTTTTTCCCCACATTCTTGCAAACACTTATTGTTGTTTGTATTCTTGATAGCTGCCATTCTGACTGGAGTGAGATGAAATCTTAGAGTAGTTTTGATTTGCATTTCTCTAATTGCTAGAGATGTTGAACATTTTTTCATATATTTATTGATTGATTGTATATCACCTTCTGAGAAGTATCTGTTCGGTTCCTAGGCCCATTTATTGATTGAGTTGTTTTTTTGGTGTTAAGATTTTTGAGTTATTTATTTATCCTAGAGATTAGTGCTGTATCTGATATGCATGTGGTAAAAATTTGCTCCCCAAATGTAGGCTCTCTACTCACCTCACTGTTTCTTTTGCTGAGGAGAAGCTTTTTAGTTTGAATCTATCCCATTTATTGATTCTTGATTTTAATTCTTGTGCTATAGGAGTCTTAGTAAGGAAATCGGGGCCTAATCTAACATGATGGAGATTTGGGCCTACTTTTTCTCTATTAGGTACAGTGTCTCTGGTTTAATTCCTAGGTCTTTGATTCACTTTGAGTTTTGTGCATGGTGAGAGATAGGGGCTTAATTTCATTTTGTTGCATATGGATTTTCAATTTTTCCAGCACCGTTTGTTGAAAATGCTATCTTTTCTCCAATGTGTGTTTTTGTGCTTTTGTCTAATATAAGATAACTGTAGTCTGTGGGTTTGTTTCTTTGTCCTCTATTCTGTACCATTAGTCTACAAGTCTCTTTTGGTGCCAACACCATGCTGTTTTTTGTTATTATTGTTCTGTAGTATAGTTTAAGGTCTGGTATATGCTACCTGCTTCATTCTTCTTGCTGAGGATTGCTTTAGGTATTTTGGGTCTTTGATTTTTCCAGATGAATTTAATGACTGCTCTTTCTATTTCTATGAGGAGTACCACTGGGATTTTGATTGGAATTGCATTAAATCTGTATAGTGCTTTTGGTAGTATGGTCATTTTGACAATWTTAATTCTGCCTATCCAAGATCAAGGGAGATCTTTGTATCTTCTAAGATTTTCTTTGCTTTCTTTCTTTAGCGTTCTGTAGTTTTCATTATAGAGGTTATGTTTTCCTTATGTAGTTTTCATGACATTTCATTATAACCTCTTTTGTTAAGTTGATTTTCAAGTATTTTATTTTATTTTTTAAGGCTATTATAAATGGGGTAGTTTTTCTTGTTTCCCTTTCAGAGGATTTGCCACTGATGTACATACACGTGTTTGATTTATGGGTGTTGATTTTATATCCTGCTACTTTGCTGAATTCATTTACTAGTTCTAGAATTTTTCTGGTGAAATTTTTGGGTCTTCTAGGTATAGAATTATATCGTCAGCAAATAGTGCTAATTTGAGTTCTTCTTTTCCTATCTGTATTCCTTTAATTTCTTTCCTCTAATTGCTCTGGTCAGTGTTTCAAGAACTATGTTAAATAAAAGTGGTGAAAGAGGGCATCCCTGTCTTGTTCTAGTTTTTATAAGGAATGCTTTCAATTTTTCTCCATATAGAATGATGTTGGCCTGGGGATTAGCATAGATAGCTTTTACAATGTTGAGATATGTTCCTGTTATCCCTAGTTTTTCTAATGTTTTGAACGTGAAAGGGGTGCTGTGTTTTGTCGAATGCTTTTTCTGCATCTATTGAGGTAATCATATGATTCTTTAAGCCCATTGATGTAATGAATTACATTTATTGATTTCTGTATGTTGAACCAACCTTGCATGCCTGGAATGAATCCCACTTGATCGTGGTGCACTATCATTTGATATGTTTTTGTATTCGATTTTCGAGAATTTTATTGATAATTTTGCATCTATATTTATTAGAGATATTGGTCTGAAGTTTGCTTGCTCTGATGTGTCTTTGACTGGTTTTGGAATCAGGGTGATATTGTCCTCATAGAATGAGTTTGGAAGTGCTCATTCTATGAGGCCACTGGTGTGGCCCTCTTTTTCTATTTCCTGAAATAGCTTGAAGAGTGTTGGTATTAGTTCTTCTTTAAAGGTGTTGTAGAACTCAGCTGTGGTATCCATCCGGTCCTGGGATTCTCTTGGTTGGTAGGCTTCTGATGGTGTCTTCTACATCATTGCTTGAAATTGATCTGTTTAGATTGTGTATATCCTGACTCAATTTGGGCAAATTATAGGACTCTAGAAATTTGTTGATGCCTTTGATATTTTCTATTTTATTGGAGTACAAGTTTTCAAAATAATTTTTAATTATCTTCTTTATTTCTGTAGTGTCTGTCATGATATTTCCTTTTTTATCATGTAAGTAATTTGAATTTTCTCTCTCCTCCTCGTTAGAATGGCTAAGGGTTTGTCAATTTTATTTATTTTTTTCAAAGAACCAACTTTTTGTTCTGTCAGTTTTTTCAGTTATTTCTTTTGTTTCAATTTCGTTGATTTGAGCTCTGATTTTAATTATTTCCTGTCTTCTACTGCTTTTGGTGTTGATTTATTCTTCTAAGGCTTTGAGATGTAATGTTAAGTCATTTATCTGTTGACTTTTTCTTCTTTGAAGAATGCACTCCATGCAATGAACTTTCCTCTTAGAGCTGCCTTTGTAGTGTCTTAGAGATTTCAATAAGTTGTATCAGTGTTCTCATTTACCTCTAAGAATTTTCAAATCTCCTCCTTGATGTCTTTTGTAATCCATTGTTCATTCGGTAGCATATTATTTAGTATCCAGGTGTTGGAGTAGCTTTTATTTTTTATTTTATCATTGATTTCTAATTTCATTTTGATAGAATGCAGGGTAGTATCTCTACTTTTTTGTATTTGCTAAGAGTTGCTTTGTGGCATACTGTATGGTCTGTTTTAGAGAAGGATCCATGTGGTGCTGAGAAGAAAGCGTATTCACTCGTTGAAGGATAAAATATTCTATGTATGTCAGTTAAGTCTAAGTTATTGATTGTATTATTGAGTTCTATATTGAGTTTCTTTGTTCAGCTTTTGTTTAGAAGATCTATGCAGTGGTGAAAAAGGTATGTTAACATTACCCAGAATTATTGTGTTGTGGTCTGTGACTCTTGAACTTGAGAAGAGTTTGTTTGATGAATGTAGATACTCCATTATTTGGGGCATATATATTTATAATTGTTAAATCTTGTTGGTGTATGGTTCCCTTGAGCAATATGAAATGACCTTCTTTATCCCTTTGATTGATTTTAGCTTGAAATCTTCTTCATTTAATATGATGATGGAAACCCCTGCTTGCTTCCACAGTCCATGTGAGTGGTGTGATTTTTCCCAACCTTTCACCTTTAGTCTGTGGCTGTCTTTTCCTATGAGATGAGTCTCTTGGAGGGCAGCATATTGTTGGGTCTTTTTTTGTTTTTGATCCAATCTGCTAGTCTATTATCTTTTGGTTGGTGAGTTTATGCCATTAACAATCTTGTGTTATTATTTGAGACATGACTTGTATTCCCAGCCATTTTTGGTTTATTTTGGTATTTAACTTTACTTGGTTTCTCCTTTGATTAGTTATTTCTTTAGTGTAATACCTCCCTCTGCTGATTTTCTTCGTTGTTTTTTGTTTTTTCTTCATGGAATATTTTGCCAAGGATGTTCTGTAGTGTGGGCTTTCTAGTTGTAAATTATTTTAACTTTTGTTTATCATGGAAGGTTTTTATTTCATCATCAAATCTAAAGCTTAATTTTGTTGGATACAAGATTCTTGGATGACGTCCATTTTCTTTCACAGTTTGGTATATGTTGTTCCAGGATCTTCTAGCTTTCAAGGTCTGGGTTGAAAAATCTGCTCATAACTTAATTGGTTTCCCCCTATATGTATTCTGATTCCTTTCTCTCATGGCTTTTAAAATTCTCTCCTTATTCTGTATGCTAGACATTTTTATTATAATGTGCCTTGGTGTGGATCTGTTGTGATTTTGTACTTTTGGCATCCTGTAAGCCTCTTGTATTTGGTTTTCCAATTCATTATTCATGTTTGGAGAATTTTCTGATATTATTTCATTGAATAGATTGTTCAATTCCTTTGGTTTGGAACTCTATGCCTTCCTCTATCCCAGTAACTCTTAAATTTGGTCTTTTTATACTATCCCATATTTTTTTGAATGTTCTGCTTATGATTTCTTACTGTCTTCATTGTGTCGTCTACATTCTTATAAGTTTTGAATTTTGTTGTAAAGTTTTTGAATTAACATGAATTTTTTTTTCCAATTACAGTTACTAATATTAAGAAAATAGCCAAATAGATAGTGTTGCTTCAAAACTTAATTTTGCTGTAAACAAGGTTCCCCTGAYACATTAGCATTTTGTTTCCCTGGCTCAGACTTGAATTTGTTGAAGGAACAGTGTTTTTGGCAGAGTTTTGATCTAAAAGTCCATTGTCCAGAGATTTTCATGGCTTGGAACATAGTATTTAACATTTTGGGTCTCCATCTTGCAAGAAAGGAGTTGAATTATATGACTATTAAATCCCTTCTAACTCTGAAAGCTTATGTTCTAATATTAAGTATTTTAAAACCCAAAGAATACAGGAAAATGAACAATAAATCTGATTTTCATTGTACTATTTAAAACAAAGAATCATACTGGCATGATTATTTTGAAGTAACTGTCCATGCTTTTGTTTTTCTGTAGATGGACCACACATCCCCGACCTACATGCTTGCTAACTTAGCCCACTTACATTCTGAACAACTTCTTCAGGGCTTGAATCTTCTTCGTCAGCACCACGAACTCTGTGACATCATTCTTCGTGTAGGTGATGTTAAAATTTATGCTCACAAAGTGGTACTTGCCAGCATCAGCCCGTATTTCAAAGCTATGTTCACTGGAAACCTTTCTGAAAAAGAAAACAGTGAGGTTGAATTTCAATCCATTGATGAAACTGCTCTCCAGGCCATTGTGGAATATGCCTATACAGGGACTGTTTTTATTTCTCAGGATACAGTTGAATCTCTCCTTCCAGCAGCAAACTTACTTCAGATAAAACTTGTCCTGAAAGAATGTTGTGCATTTCTTGAAAGCCAGCTTGATCCTGGGAACTGTATTGGAATATCTCGTTTTGCAGAGACATATGGTTGCCATGACCTTTATTTGGCAGCCACTAAATACATATGCCAGAATTTTGAAGCTGTATGCCAGACAGAAGAGTTTTTTGAGCTTACACATGCAGATTTGGATGAAATTGTTTCCAATGACTGTTTGAATGTAGCTACTGAAGAGACTGTTTTTTATGCATTAGAATCTTGGATCAAGTATGATGTACAAGAACGCCAGAAATACTTAGCACAGCTATTAAACAGTRTACGATTACCATTGCTGAGTGTTAAGTTTCTCACTAGGCTATATGAAGCAAATCATCTTATTCGTGATGATCGCACTTGTAAACATCTTTTGAATGAAGCTTTAAAGTACCACTTTATGCCTGAACATAGACTCTCTCATCAGACAGTCTTGATGACKCGACCTCGCTGTGCTCCCAAAGTACTTTGTGCCGTAGGAGGAAAATCTGGACTCTTTGCCTGTTTGGATAGGTAAATAGAAGGCTTTGTTAAAGGAGTGATATTTATAGATTTTTGTGCTTTTTAAATGTGCTAATTTTCTGTATTTTAAAAATAATTTGGTTTTACTTTTTACTTTTATTTGCTGCTTTTTTTTTTCTCCCAGAATATTTATGTGGTAATTTTAATCACATTGTCATCCATTCTCTGCAATACTCTCAATTATTAACCTTCCCTCCCAAGTGTGCACCTTTATTCATCCTGGTTACTCCTAACTTTTCTTCCATTTTATGTCTTTATTTATTTATTTATTTTTTCTGGAACCGTTTACATCTTTACTTGGGTCAGACCAGCATGGAGGGGAGATTTATTATTGTCAGTTACATCCGAAWATATTAAAGAAGAGAGCTAAGAACCTGTGAGGAGGGCAATCTGGGGGACAGGAATGTGGGTTTGAATGGATGAAACAGATCCTTAGAAGAACAAGCAAAGAAGTGAAAAAAGCTGGGCATGATGGCACACACCTGTAATCCTAGCTACTTAGGAGACTGAGGCAGAAGAATCACAAGAAGAATCTAGGCCAGCCTCAGCAATTTAGCAAGATCCTATCTCAAGACAAAAAAATAAAATAAAAATGAAAAAGACTGGGGGTGTAGCTCAGTGTCAGAACATTCATGGTCTCAATCAATTCCCCAGTACCCCCCCCCMAAAAAAAAAGGCGGGGGAGAGGACTTTATGTGCAATTTTTGTTCTTCATTATAAGCATTTTTTCAAAACAATAGTAATAAATGCTTTTTTAAAAAAATATGTTTTATTTTTCAATGGACCTTTGTTTTACTTATTTATGTGCAGTGCTGAGAATCAAACCCAGTGCCTCACACATGCTAAGCAAGCGCTCTACCACTGAGCCACAACCCCAGCCATAATGCTTTCTTTTCTATTAATTTAGAGCAGGAGTTGCCAGACTATCAAAGATCTAGCAAAGGTAGATATATAGACTTCATGGGCAGTATGGTGTTTGTCACATCTGTCCAACTCTACCTTTAGAATTTGCCAGTCCTTGATGCAAGTAACTTTTAGATTTTTAGAAAATGTAGTGTGATGTTATCTTTGCTTTTTCCTTGGATAGAATTTGCTTAAGACAAACTTTTGTTTGATATTTTTCGATAATGCTGCGCATTTCTTTCTGGCAATTTCCAAAACTTTGGTAGATTGCTTTTCTTTCTCCAGTGATAGGAAACTATTGATGTTGCAACTCATATTCTGAATCTTTTAAAAAAAATCTTACTATACATTTTAACTGTAGTCTTAAAACTAGTATTGTTGAGATTAGTCTATAGGTAAAGCATTAGTTTTTGTGGTAGCTTCACATATTAATTGTTTAGTTCTTGTTCTTAAAAGACATGGATTATTGGCGTGAAGTAAATGACTAATAGAATGGCAAAAAAGTTCCAAATGTGAATGTATGGTTTAAAAGTCTGGTTGCCTCTTGGTTTCTTAAATATTAAAAATAATGAACATAAGTTATTGAAGAGTCATAAAAACTGTTCTTGTCTTTAGACCCAGTAATTCTTTTGTCTYCCAATCTATCATAATAAAATTTAAAAATTAAAAATATCATTTGCACAAAGCTGTTCATTGCAGCATTATTTATAACTGGAAAAATTGGAACCAACCTGAATGATCATTCAATTTAATTCTTCAAAAAATTCTAATAACACTGTTAGATATGTGCCTTTAACAAGCTCATTTAGTAAAAGAGAAAATATTTGCATAGATAATTATAATACATAGTATTAATTCAGTGATAAAGATAATTCTGTGGAAGTATTAGGGATAGGTRTTTCTCCCATTGGAAGAATTTAGAGCCCAGACGCAATGGCACATGCCTGTAATTCCAGCTGTTTGGGAGGCTAAGGCAGGAGGATTACAAGTTAAAAGCCAGCCTCAGCAATTTAGTGAGGCCCCTAGCAAATTGAGAGATCCTGTCTCAAAATAAAAAGGGCTTGGGGATGTGGTTAGTGATTAAGTGCGCCTGGGTTTAAACCCTAGCACCAATAATAAATAAATAAATAGATGGATGGATGAATGAATGTATTTAGGAAGAATTTTGTACAGAAGTCATGACCAAGGACAGTGGCATGGTATAATATGAGATATGCAGGAAAGTAAAAGCTGTTTGGTATTGGGAAGTCTGCAGTTCTGATTAATAAGTCAAACAGTGGTGAATGTGAACTGAATCAAAGAAGTTATTAWATGCCATGATAAAAAGAAGATTTTTATGTGTATTGCACAACTATTTTAAATAGGGTACTGAAACAATCAAGATTAGTCTGTTAAGTCATTTTGGCTACATTGCAGAGAAAGATTGAGCAACCAGGATTAACACCACAGTGATTAGATCAAAGAGTATTTTAGAAACACAGTCAACAGATTATGAGGTCCTGGATTAGGGTAGAACTAGTAAAGACAGATAAGAGCAACATTTTTTTTTTTTCCTTTTGGTGATGCTGGGGATTGAACGCAAGGCCTTGTGCATGTGAGGCAAGCACTTTACCAACTGATCTATATCCCCAGCCCAAGAGAGCAATAGTTTAAAAAGTGTTTTAAGAGAGGAAATTGACAGGACAGAGTTTGGATGGATAAAGGGAAAGGATGTTCAGGAAAGGCAGGAATAAAAGGAGAATGAGATTTCTTGAACAAATGATTAGTTTGATTATATACCAAGAATTGAAAATGTGTGTTTAAAAGAACAAATGAGGGCTGGGGCTGTAGCTCAGTGGTAGAGTGCTCGCCTCACATGTGGAAGGCACTGGGTTCAATCCTTAACACCACATAAAAATAAAATAAAGGCATTGTATCCACCACAACTAAAAAAAAATTAAAAAAAAAAAAGAACAAATGAAAGTTATGACTTAGTGATGGCCTTGCTAGCTAAAGAGATTAGCATGTATAGAAGGGAGCCAGATATTTTTCATCAAAACGAGGGGAGAAAGACCTGGAAGTCATTTTAGAGAACTGAGGCTGCCACTTCTATCACAGGCCCAGAGCTCTAGGAGACAGTGTTTTGGGGGACATGTGAGGACAGCCCATTGCCTATAGCCAGCTCAGATATTTGCTCATTATCATTCCAGCACAGCACTCACYGGCTGCCCCAGTTTTGACTCAAGCAGAGCCAGCTGTATCTCAACCCTGTGGCTAGTGCAAGTGGTAAACCTTGGCAGTGTTCAGGGGTGTGAATTCTGCACAAATTCAGAATGCAAAAGTTATGGGGACATGGCCTTCTCACCTTCATTTCTAAGAATGTTGTGGACTGTTTGGGGTCACAGAGATTTTTGGCAGGGGTGAATCCACTGTAGAGAGTTTTTATTAGGGCAACTCTGAGTGGAAATATAGTGTTGGAGGTGAAGCTACTGCAGAACCCTCAGCAAGGTTATACCTAGTGAAGCTGTGTTAACTAGACCACCACAGAGTGTCAGTACTAGGGTAATCCCTAGTGAAAGCATGAGAGTGGGGCCACTACCAAGACCCCAGGACTGTAGAACTACCAACATGCAATACCAGCCTGAGCAAGTTACAGGCACAAAACTCTAGCCTCCAACTATGAGAAGAACTAGATGAATTGAATACAGCAAAGCCATTGGATTGGGGCTTTCTAAGGCCTTGAGGTCCCAGTTTCTGCCACAGTGTGCCCAGGCTGCAGAACATGGAGTCAAGGGAGATTAAGACTTACTGTTGTTTTCCTTGTTGGGGTTTGGGGCTGCTTGGTACCAGTTACTTCTTTCTTACGTATTGGTCCTTTTTGGAATGAGAACACCTGACCCACCATTGTATTTTGGAACTATATAATTTGTTTTGATTTGATAGGCTGACAGGTGGAAGGATTCATGCTTTGAGACCTATYCATATCTGATTTAAAGGAAACTCTGTATTTTGGACTTTTTAATTGATCCTGGAATGAGTTAAGACTCTTGGAACTATTGGGATGGAATGAAAGTATTTTGCATCATGAGAAAGACATGAATTTTGGAGGTCAAAAGTGAAATGTTATGGTTTTAATGTATATGTTAAAAACTTAATGCAATAGTGTTGAGAGGTGAGACCTTTAAGTGGTGACTAGGTCTTAAGGACATCACCCTCATGAATGGACTAAGGCCATTATCTCAGGAGTGGGTTAAATGTAAGAGGGGGAGATTTGGCTCCTTTTCCTCTCTCTTTTCCTCCCTCTCCCTGTCTTCCTCCTTCTCTCTCCTTGTGTGTTCTCTCACCATGTGATGCCTTCCATGGTGCAGCAAGAAGGCCTTCAGCAGGTACAGCCCCTCAGTCTTGGACTTCCTGCCCCCAGAACTGTGAGCCAAATAAACTTCTGTTATTTGTAATTTACTTAGCCTGGTGGCATTCTATTGTTACAACAGGAACTGGACTAAGACATAATAACTGGAATATTTTTTTCCCCTTAAGGATTTTTTTTAAATCTTTTTTTAGTTGTCAATGGACCTTTATTTATATGCGGTGCTAAGAATCAAACCCAGTGCCTCACACACTCTAGGCAAGCGCACTCTACTATTGAGCTACAACCCCAGCCCTCTCCTTAAGGATTTTTGATCCATTGGCCCTATAATGAGTTGATAGAATTGATTGCTTTTCACACACCACATGTTCTCATCTTTTCTGCTTTCCCACCTTAGAGTCCAGAAACAACATTGTCATCATAACTTTTTAATATACCATGGCTCCCTAACCCTTGTGTTCCTTCATCATACTCATCTAGTTAAAATCACAACATCCACTTGTGCCATGGTTGTACCTGAGCATTGGAATGTGGCAAGAGAAATACACATGCCTGGGGCTGGAGTTGTGGCTTAGTGGTGGAACATTTGCCTAATGCCTGTGGGGCACTGGGTTTGATCCTCACCAYCACATAAAAATTAATAAATAAAATAAACTTCTGTTACTTGTAATTTACTTAGCCTGGTGGTATTCTGTTGTTACAACAAGAACTGGACTTAAAACATAACTTCTATTATTATTTTTTCCCCTAAGGATTTTTAAAAATGTTTTTTTAGTTGTCAATGGACCTTTATTTATACGTCGTGCTAAGAATCGAACCCATCTATAACTAAAAGAAATATTAAAAAGAAATATATTGGGCGGGGATGTGGCTCAAATGGTAGTGCGCTCGCATGGCATGCAGGAGGTACTGGGTTGGATTCTCAGCACCACATAAAAATAAAATAAAGATATTGTGTCCACCTAAAACTAAAAAAATAAATAAATATTAAAAAAAAAGAAATATACATGCCCATTTTAACTTATCTCACTTATAGACCTTGGCATTCCCCAGCAATTAACTTTTAATTTCCTCAATTTCTTTTACTTCCTAGGACTGTCTCACATCACCTATTTTCTCTTTAAAAACATCCAAGGTATTTCCAACTTTTAGCTGATTACCTTATTCCTTTTTCTATTAAGGAGATAAGAAGCCACCAGAAAACTATCTCATCTTCCCATCACTAAATCTACTGTTATTTCTATTGAAGGCTAACCCTTCTACTTTTTTAAAAAAAAATTTATTTATTTATTTTTGCATTACAATTCTTAATACACCATTATACCATAATTTATCATATCTCTGATTATATAAGGTATGTTTCTACTTATATTCACTAGATTCCATTCCTTTTCTTTTTCTTTATTTTTCTTTTTGGTATCAGGGATTAAACCCAGGGGTGCTTAACTACTAAGCCATATCCCTACTCCTTTTCTTATTTTTTTAATTTTGAGCAGGTCTCAATAAATTGCTTAGGGACTCACTAAATTGCTGAGGRTTGAATTTGCAATCCTTCTGCCTCAGCCTCCTGAGCCACTTGGATTACACGTGTGTACCACTAGGTCTGGGCCATTCCTTCTCTTTATGCAAATATTTTGCTCTTTTACTTTTCTTGTCTTTCTCTTATATCATCACCTCCCAGTGTACTATATCTTTGCTGTGAACATACAAACATTTTATAATCTAAACTCCCAGATTAATTTTTCTGGCATCCATAGTCTTTCTGTGTTTCACTTTGTAACTCCTCGTGTCYGTTTTATTCTTCTATTTAAAAAATAATAATTAGAAAAATTACCTATACTCGATGTTTTTATTTCCTCATCTCCTGCTCTCTGGAATTTCTCCACTCAAGGTTTATCCCTATTTCCTCAATGAAACTCATCTTGTTAAACTCAAATTGTTCCCTGTTATATCACTGGTACAAATTCACAGTTTAAAATCTAGCTAAATAATAAAACTGATTATAAATAGGCATTTGATAATTATGAAGTTAATCAAAATACTTTGATCATACTGGAAAAAGAATATATACTCTTATACTATTGCATTATTGAGTTTTGGGACTTGTGGCTGACCTATAATCAGCAAAGCAGTCGGGGCAGGGCTGCCCTAACCCATGGGGCCCCTGCTACAGTAGGCACAAGATGGCTGGACTTGGAGTTTTAGGGGTTTAATGTCTTCCCTGCTGGCATAATTGGCCCAATTACACCTTTCTACTTGTCTGTTTATCCCTTTTAGAAGTAGGAATGTTTATCCTATTCCAGTCCTGCCATTATAACTTTATTTGGGGGAGTTACTGGAGGTTGAACTCAGGGGCACTCCACCACTCAGCCCCAGCCCCAGCCCTATTTTGTATTTTGTTTAGAGACTAGGTCTCACTGAGTTTCTTAGGGCCTCACTAAATTGCTGAAGCTGACTTTGAACTCTTGATCTTCCTGTCTTAGCCTCCTGAGCCACTGTGCCAGCCTGCCATTATAACTTAGAAGTGTATCCTGCTCTTTTTTTTTTTTTTTTTTTTTTAAACAGAGGCTCACAGCTGGAAGGAGATGAGACTTTGGACTTTTGAATTAATGCTGGAATGAGCTAAAACTTGGGGACTGGAAGGGATGGAATGATTGCATTTTGCATTTGTGAGAAGGACATTAACCTTGGGGGCCAAGGGTAGAATAATATGGTTTATAATATGGTTTGAGTGAGTCTCCCAAAGGCTCATGAGTTGATATTGTGAAATGATGATGTGGAACTTAATCTGGCTGTGATTTTTAGAGATAGAACTTTTGGTGGGGGGTGGGGGATGTGTGATTAAAATTAGATAAAGTTATGGGGTGGAGTCACCATGATTGAATATTGGTGAAGTGGGAAATGACCAGTGTGTGGAGAGAGAGAGAGAGACATACACACACACACACACACATACACGGGTCAGACTGCCAATGAGAAAGCCATCAAAAGATGGCTTTTGGTCAAAAGTATTGTCTTTTCTTCATAACTTATCTAGTCTGTGATATTGTGTTATTAGCAAGAAAACAGTCTAAGACAGACACCAACAAGCTTAATAGATATTAAAAATAMGTTTGAAGACCCCACGTATCTCCTTGCCATCTCCCTCTCTCCCCAAGAAGTAAACATTATTCTGTATTAACCTTCTGCTTTTCATTATAATTTTTCCTCTTGTCAAATGAACCTCAATTACTATCAGGTTTTATACATTTTTATATAAATGGAAGTGCTGTATATACTTGGAGATGTTTTTTCACTGAACAGTAAATGAAATTCTCTTGTGCAATTGCATGAGGAAATAGTTCATTTACTTTCACTGACATGGTGTATTAGCATAGCATAATTTTTTCTTTTACAATGAATTTTTTTTTTTATTTTAAATACTAAAGTCTTACACATAAATAGAAAAGAGGGTAATTCCACTTGTACCACTCAGTGGATTATCATAAAAGTGAGCAGTACAAACCAGTTCAAAAAATAGAATAGCACTCAGGAGCTCCTTCTCTGACCTACCCCAGTGATAATCACTATCTACATTTTTAATCCAGAGATTAGTTTTACATGTTTTTGAACTTGATATAAATGAAGTTATGCAAAATATATTATTTTGAGTTTATCATCTTTCYCTCAAAAGACCTGTAAGGGGTTGGGGTTGTGGCTCCTCAGTAGAGTGCTCACCTAGCATGTGCCCTGGGTTTGATCCTCAGCACCACATAAAAATAAATAAATAAAATAAAGATATTGTGTCCAACTAAAAAATAAATATTAAAAAAAATACATGTAAGATTCACCCCAAGTACATGTGGCTGTATTCAGTTCATTTTCATTGCTGTAAATATGGTTGATGAACATTTGGACTGCTTCCAATATTTGGTGATTACAAATAATACTGCAGTGAACTTTCTTGTACATATACAAATATATGCATTTTTCTTGTGTACCTATTTAAGAGTAAAATTGTTCAGTCATGGGACAGATATACTACATCTTATTTAACTATTCTCCTTTTGATGGATTATTGCATTGTGCTCCAAAGAACTTTTCTGTATGTGTTTCCTGCTACAAAACTGACTACAGTAAATGTTCAACAGAGTAGACACATAGAGATGAAATTGATGAGTAAAGGCACATGCATATCTTGAACTTTATTGGATAGTGTGAAATTGTTTTCCAGATTTGTTTGTACTTGTTAACACTCTCACTAACAATCTGCATTCCTTCCTCCACATTCTTGCCAAGAGATGTTATCATCTTTACAGTTTTGCCAGTCTGGAAGATGTATCATGGTTTGTTGTGGCTTTAATTTGCATGTCCCTGGTTACTGATAAGATTAAACATATTTTTATTTATGGGCCATTTGGGTTTTTAAAATTTATTTTTTTCTGCTTATTCTTTAGTGTGGAGATGTACTTTCCTCAAAGTGACTCTTGGATTGGTTTGGCACCCTTAAACATTCCTCGCTATGAATTTGGAATATGTGTTTTAGACCAAAAAGTGTATGTTATAGGTGGTATTGAAACTAATGTGCGTCCTGGTGTCACTGTCAGAAAACATGAAAATTCAGTAGAATGCTGGAATCCTGATACAAATACCTGGACTTCACTAGAGAGAATGAATGAGAGCCGAAGTACCCTTGGAGTAGTAGTTCTTGCAGGAGAACTTTATGCTTTAGGTGGATATGATGGACAATCTTATTTACAATCTGTAGAGAAATATATTCCCAAAATAAGAAAATGGCAACCTGTGGCACCAATGACTACGACAAGAAGTTGTTTTGCTGCAGCTGTATTGGATGGAATGATATATGCCATTGGTGGGTATGGTCCTGCTCACATGAACAGGTATTTAAATTAATAATTAAATTGTGTACATGTTGGGAGATTTTTAAAAGGGATTATTAATAATAATTTCTGAGTTTTAAATAATTTGTATGTATCAATGAGCTTCATTTTTAATTTTTTTAAGTGATATTGATAGGCATTTGAGAATTTAACCTGCTTCTTAAATGTAACTGTTTATATGGCAATTCAAAGAATCTTAAGATTACATCCCTTGTATTAAATTAACACTAAGTCATTCTGTTTAAATGGTCTACATTTTAAAACTCAGAAAATGTAAAAGTAAGATTTTGGCAATTTTTAGATTTCGTGTGGTGTATGTATGTGCATGTGTATATGTGTATAAGGTCTTTATTACGTTGCTTAATAGAATAAAGATATGGAAATATAATTCCTATAGGCCAATACAATATTATATTATAAAGTTGAAGTCTCACTTAAATATTCCTTGGTGGATTCTTATTCTATGATTAAGACATATTTTCATGTTACATCATACATGTGTTTTGGTTGTGCTAAAATCTGAATTAGAGATCTCTGTATTCTGTGATATATTCTTTGAATAAAGGAGAAATATGTATGAGAAAAAAGTTAGTGCTTATATGGAATATTAATCATAATCCTGCACATTTGTTGAAAATTGATGTTCTAAAGATTTTTATCTTTAATAATTGGAGTGGTCTGTGTTTTATTGATTTTTTTTAGTGTTTTAAAGAAGGGAAAGTGATTGGCACAATAGTATTTCTTAGTTTAAACAGCATTATTTCAGTTTAATCTAAACTATTCCTCCTTTTTTGATCCTTTAGTTGAATGAAAAGTATTTGGGTCCCTGACAAGCATTTCTATTCTTCGAAAAACTTCTGGCAAAAATTTCTAAAATAAAAGATTTACGTATTTTAATTTTGAGATAATGTTCTTGGATTTTTAAAGTCTTGCTAGAGTTCATCAACTTTTCTTGTCCCATGATTTTGGTCTAATGAGTTTATCATGAAATCTTTTCACAAACACTGTTATCTAGTCTCTATTATGATTTCCAGAATGAGCTTAACAGCATCTCAAATGCCTAAGCCTTTTTCAGAAAGTGAGATCAGAACCAAAACRAGCTCAATTAAATTTACCTTTGTGCCTTTGAGCCCCTTCAGGGCAAACAACAGGCTTACAAATATTCTGAAATGGTCTGAAGAAGCTTTTTTGAAAATTCTGATTTGATATGGGTCTCCATAACAAACTTGGAAGTACCACAGGTTCTCTGGATGCATACCAAACTTTAATCCTAAATTCTCCTAAATCAATCATAAATTATTATGATTAACCAGTTTGTGCCATGGAATCTGTAGTGTGCTCTGTACTAAAATCACATGAATTATCCTGTGAGAAAAAACACTGCTCTTCCTTCCTTCTCTTTTCCTTATCTGTGTATCCTTAGTTTTCTTAAAAATATTTGTAATTTTCGAATGTATTCTTGTTTGATTTTATTATATGAACCCTTTGAGTTGTGCTGTTTTTTCAGGTGAAATGAAATGATGTATTCAGGTTTACACAGAGCCACAGTGGTAGGGCTAGTCCAGCTCTAGAATGCAGCATGTGTACTTMATCCCAGGTCTTCTGTCTTAAGTTCTGTGCCTTTATATACCTGTTGCTGAAACAGTACAGTTGGCCCTCTGTATCTGCAGATTCAGCATCTGTGGGTTTAACCAACTATGGATGAGAAATATTTGAAAAAATATTGCATCTATACTGAACATGTACAGATTTTTTTCTTATTCCCTAAATAATACAACAACCTTTTACATAGCATTACATTAAATTAGATGTAAGTATTCTAGAGATAAAGTATATGGGAGGTTAGGTGTAAATGCTACACCATTTACATAAGGGATTGAGTATCCACTTGGGTTATGGGACCAATTCCTTATGAATACTAAAGAATGATTGTATAATGGAATAGCAAACAGTTATTGTTGAACCCTATTCACAAGGTAAACTTTTAATTCTGTAAACTTATTGGCAAAAATCTAAATATTTGGGATAGACTACTCTTGGTTTGTATCTGTTTCTTTATTGAACTTTGAAAACCATGGCAGGTTTTAGTTTTGCTTTGGCAGAAAATGTGACACAAAGGATCTGTAAATTAATTCTTTTGTCATGTGAATTTTTGCAGTGTGGAACGTTATGATCCAAGTAAAGACTCCTGGGAGATGGTTGCATCCATGGCTGATAAAAGGATTCACTTTGGCGTGGGTGTCATGCTAGGCTTTATTTTTGTGGTGGGTGGACATAATGGTGTCTCACATTTGTCAAGCATTGAAAGATATGACCCCCATCAAAATCAGTGGACTGTGTGTAGACCAATGAAAGAACCTAGAACAGGTAATAATAATTTATGAATTTATAAAAATATAGGACTGTGCTTTCTACAGTGATGCTCTTGGAATAGTAGTTCCATAGAAAAACAAGGGTATTACTTTTCCAGAAAAACTTTTTTTTGTTATAAACTTGAAAAACAACTAGCTAGGCAAAACAACATAGATTTCTTAACTGTGCTTTTAATATACCTGTGGGTATATTATCATTTTCTCAAACTTGAAAGAACACATTTTGGGAAATGCTGATAATAGAATATATCTTTCTAGAAGCTTTTTTTTTTTGGCCGTATAATACATCTCATCGATTTGTATGTTTTATAATCCCAACCTCCCTCTTCTCTCTCTCTCTCTCTCTCTCTCTCTCTGTCACACACACACACACACACACACACACACACACACACTCCTTGTATTGTTCTATTTTGTTTTGTACATCAATGATTCATACATTTACTTTTGAATGTTCTGTCCTTCCCAAAGGACACAGTTGATAAGAAAAGGGGTTGGATTTCAGGGTTCCTAAAGAAAAAACAAATACATCATTTGAAAATAAGGAAAATTATTTTTTTTATTGGTTGTTCAAAACATTACAAAGCTCATGACATATCATCTTCCATACATTTGATTCAAGTGGGTTATGAACTCCCATTATTTACCCCAAATACAAGTTGCAGAATCACATCGGTTACACATCCACATTTTTACATAATACCATATTAATGACTGTTGTATTCTGCTACCTTTCCTATCCCCTACTATCCCCCCTCCCCTTCCCTCTCATCTTCCCTCTCTACCCCATCTGCTGTTTTTTAATTCTCTCCCTTGTTTTTATTTTTCCCCCTTTCCCCTCACAAACTCTTATATGTAATTTTGTGTAACAATGAGGGAGGAAAATTATTTTTTAACCCAAACTCAAATGACATTATTTTAAGGGGCAGGTTTTAAGTTAAAGAAACTCTTAAAACATAAATATCAAAAGGAAATTAACAGAACAAAATGGAGTTAACCATTTCAGAGTTTGTTTGTAATCAGTTTTTTCAGCATTCTTGATAGGGAAAGCCTTAAAAACAATAACTTAAAATTTTGTGTAGACTTGTTCTTTTTTTCAAACTATATATAATAATATATAAAGAATAATTTTTAAAAGCATAAATTATATAGTTCAGTATATTTGAAAACCTGACGAAATGCATGATTTCTAGAAAATATATAAATATAAATGGATTTTAAAGCATATAGAAATGCCTTAATAATACTTTTCTGCCATAGTTTACCGTGATCTGATCATTAAACATTATGTACGTATATTAAAGTGTCACATTAAACCCTGTGAATGTATACAATTCATTAAAAATCAAAATTTAAATAGTACTTTGCTGTTGGGGGCAGGGGTGTGGAGAGTAGGATTGGAGATCAGAGGTAAAAGAATAATTTGACTCTTATGTTAAGGATGTGTTTTTCTATTAAATGTATTTCTATGTTGCTTGTTAAATTGTTGAAATATATTTTAAGAAAACATTAAAGTACACATTGGTTTTTAGAAAAAATAGACTTCATAGCTAACATGTCTTCTTTTTATCTACCTTTCCTAGGAGTTGGTGCTGCAGTAATTGATAACTACCTTTATGTAGTTGGGGGTCACTCAGGGTCTTCCTATCTGAACACAGTGCAGAAATATGACCCTATCTCAGATACGTGGCTGGATTCAGCAGGCATGATATACTGTCGATGCAATTTTGGATTAACTGCACTTTGATAAGAGTGAACTTCTGGAAATTATGTGGTAGTAAAACTTGTGCCACACAAAAGGATGTCCAGTTTTCTGAAAACTAAAAGCTACATTGCTTTTATTTTAACTTGAAGTGGCATGAAGACTCAAAGTTTTGTTGGGTACTTTGAATTGACAAGTAGTTTTGGTTGCTGTTGGTTACACAGTAAATCAATAATCAAAGAAGAAGAAGAAAAAGGAAAGACCTTGCCAATTGAATTGTGCACTTCTTTCCCAAGACTGAGATAGACTTGTTTTATGTTCCTAAATGGAGAAAACCTTGCTGCTTTTTAATTTTTTTATTTTTAGCTCTCTTTCCTTGATATGTATCATGATTTACTAGGACGAGAGAGGCTTTAGATTCTGAAGTGTATTGAATGATTGGACAGATTGTTTATACTGCTTGTTGTATGTAAATTCATATGCTTCACATTTTTAAAACAAAGGGCTGCTTTTACTTTTGGTACTTTTAAAGGTTGTAAATAACATGTCATAGTGAGTCATCTGAATATTCTTCCTGCTAAATTGGTTTTAGGGCTAGTGGTGTAATATATTTGCAAGACAATTGGTTTTATTGTCCTATTTGGGGCCCTGTTTTAAGAAGCCAGATACTTACTGTTTATGCCTTTTGTATATGTGCAGGTTAATGCTGGGTGAATTTAGTTACTTGTCTGTGCTATGATAAGCATGGATAGAATGAGCTGATCATACCAGWTGTTTTAGTTTTTCTTCAGTAGTACAACAGGCTTCCCAGTGTTGATGTAAATATTTGAAAGTGTTTAGGACCAACCTTAGTGCTTATTGATTTTTTTCATGTAAACTTATAATAATTTTAGTTTTTTTTAAGATCTTTGTTTGCATTTTCCAAGTGTTCAGATATAAAAATGGTGCTAACTGTAGGATCTATATAACAAGGCTATAATAGATGTTCTTTTGGATGTTTGGTATGACATGCATGGCATAATTTGATAGTGTTTTTCATTTTACAGGCTTAATTTGTTTGTGCTTATTAAAAATGTTAGTGAGTACACTAATGTTAACATCCAAAAATCATCTAAATGGCCTGTTAGGTTTTTCATGGTTACTGAATAGTGATTTAAAGAAAGATACACTTTTGGTCTTCTTTGTTCTTCTGCTGGATTACATCCTTCTGAAAAACAGAAATATATGCATTAAATATAAGCCCCAGGCAGTTATGCATTACTTTGTACATTTCTTAGGTAACTGAATATTTTAAAGTTATTGAGGAAAACTGGAACTCGATGTTTACTTGACTAATGGTTCTAATTTAGTTCTGCTTTGATTAAGGAAATTATCTTTTAAAACAAAATTGTTTGCATTAGCCAGTAAACACTTATTTAAAAGATATGGTTAACTTATTTTATTTTAGCATGTTTTAGTAAATGTCTGTAAGTCTTAAACACATTAACTTGCAGTTTTTTATGATGTTGGTACTTGTGTTTGGGTACTGTAGTCATTTKGTTTTTATTTTCTTAGTTTTTTTCTTGCCCACTATCTGTTTATAAAGTCTCTGCAAGACCACTGTACATTTTTCCTAATAATTCATACAGCATTCTTAAGTGCCATGATATTCTAAAACTATTGTTAAGAAGCCATTTGTAATTATAAAACATAGGTTCAGTTGTTAGCATATATGTTATTTCTTAAAAACTATAACCAGGTAATTTGCAGTTTTCCTTGTTCTTCCATAAACTACCTGTTGTAGAGTTGACTATATACTACAAAACTATGTAAAATCATCTTTAATCAAAAAAGTAGTATCATGCTTTAGGAATATTTGCACAGATTATAAAACCTTGCAAGTGATTTTTAGTCTCTTCTAACTTAGAACTCAACAGGAGCTACTAATAAAATCAAATGAGTATTTTGTATGTTGCTTGTCTGAATAACAATGATATATAGCAATAACTTTTTTCATTGCTTTGAATAAATCTGTTGAATAGTAATAAGGTGCACTACTGTGGTTGGCCTAAACTTTATATAAAGAAAAGCAATTTAAAATAGATTCCATTACATACTTACTGGTTTTCTGTTGTTGTTTTTTCTTTTCTTTTCTTTTCTTTTTTTTTTTTGTGGGGGGGGGATGGTTGCCAGGTATTGAACCCAGGGCCTTGTGCATGTGAGGCAAGCACTATACCAAGTGAACTATATTCCCAGCCCTCTACATCCTTACTGTTTAACCCCCTAAGTCAGTTGTCTTTGTTTGTATGAATCATATTATTAAATACATCTTATTATACTGTTTTTTATTTCCTTCTCCTAGAAGATAAGGGAATTTGAAAGGCTATAGAAAATTATTTTAATTGTAAATACATTCATACTGCTTTATTTTTAACAATGTTTAACTCATGTATTGTTTCCACTATCAAGTTAGTATAAAACCTATAATTATTTGGTAAATTAGGTCAAAAGCATATACTGATAATTATTTTTGAAAAATCTAAATATCATCTGGTGAAGACTAAATGTGAAACATCTTGGGCAATAGTAGAAGCCATGTACCAGTGAACAAATTATGAAAACCTGTGAAGAAAAAAACATTCAAAATTTAGAAATATATTTATTTTAAGGTTGCTTTTGTACTGTTCATGACATCTACTAATATGACTTGACAACTGGTAAGTTTACAATAGAGCTTTCTCTTAGAGATTTGTGAGAAGTTTCATTATGAATACTTTGCTGAAAAATTGTGAATTTAAAGCCACATGTTTCTTGTTAAAAAGGATCAAAATGTTTGGTTATAAATCCCCAGGTTTAATGGTATTAGAAATGATTATATATCTTTAGGCAAGCTAAAGCAATTTAGAATTGCCCAGAAATATTTTGGAAAAGAATGCAGAGGGGAATAGAAATTAATATAATCAAATGAGAAAAAAAATGCCTTTTATAATTACATTACATAAAAATTTAATCTGTTAGGAATGTTTGGCAATTTAATATTTGTTGGATGTAGGAAAAGAATTTATTTTTTTTTTTTTTTTTTTTTTTTTTTTTTTTTTTTTTTTTTTGGTACCAGGGATTGAACTCAGGGGCACTTGACCACTGAGCCACATCCCTAGCTATTTTTGTATTTTTTATTTTTTTATTTAGAGACAGGGTCTCACTGAGTTGCTTAGTGCCTCACATTTTCTGAGGCTGGCTTTGAACTCGGGATACTCCTGCCTTAGCCTCCCAAGCTGCTGGGATTACAGGCATGTGCCACTGTGCCTGGCTAATTTAATTAATTTTTAATGTAATCCAAAGTTTTACTTACAAGCTCCATTTGTTATTGCTAGTATTGTTTTAAATATGGATGAATATTATAGGAAGTAACAGCAAGTGATAGGAAAAAGTAAGTGATAGGAAAATGACATTACATTTTGAAAGTTTATTTTGATGGTTTGACAGATATGGAGGGTCTACTTTTATGAAGGAGATATTGTGTTAGATTCTGTGGTGGCTAGAAATATAAATAAGATATACTCTTTTCACTTAAAAGAGTAAAATGCAGTGTAGGAGTCCTGTACCCCAATAACTGTATGGTAAAATATAAATTTAATTCCTTGTCTCCAACTTCATAATTTCCTAAACACCTAGATTACTTATAAACAATTATTTAGAGTCTGATTAGGTTTTAATGGCATGAAAAAGAATTATAAAAAACTTGACTTATAGAACTCTACATTTCCTGAAATTGGATAAATATTTCCTAGAAGAAAAACAAAACTATAGGGGGGAAAAAAACAAAACCCAAACTATTTCCTAGAATATCAAAGCTCTGGCTAATACTGAGGAAAATATATGTACATATCATGCTGTGTTAATTTTCAGTTTTGGTGTTGGATTCCTAGTATTGTCACCTAAGTGCTCATTTTCAGGAAAATCAGATTCTACAGTAAATTTACTGCTTAAAGTTCAATAAACTTGTGATAACCTCTATAACCTCTGTAGTCGAAAGTTAAGAAATTATAAATGTCTCATGTCAAGTTAACATCCAGTTCTACTCTTTAACCTTTCTTCCTTTTATAAACAGCACTTTAATTAGACATGATTTAATTAGATAACGATTCTGTGGCTGGATATATATTGACTTTTCGCTTACAGTATATTGTTTCAATGTAGACACAATTGATGAGACAGGAATACAATAAGTACATTTTAAATATTATAGGTTTACAAATTTTACTAGTGTKAATATGGAGTCAAATAAAAATCCAGTTTACATCTCTGCAGAGAGAAAAATTGTTATCCATATGTCTTTTATATTATACATATTTAACTAGAGATAATTTATTGTTAATTTTGTCAAGTTATCATGTGTAAAGTTTCATTCATTTTAAAATACTAAGCAAAAAGTTCCAAGTTTGCCTTAAAATACAAGTGAAATTAAAGAACTGGATGATAATGCCTATATTTTTGCCTTATGAATTGTGCTGTATCATAAACCAGAGATGGTTTTGATTTTAACAGGATTCTGAAATTTTGTAGATGTAGGGTACTAATATTTGTACTCTCTTGCAAAGAATGTGGATAATGTCAATGTTTAAATGTTTTTGTATCTGTTTTACCTCTGAATATGTACCTTTTTAGCATCAGGGTTTTATTTTATTTTGGTTTACATAGTAAAGTGGCATTTAACTTGTTGAAGATTGTATTCTTTTGTCTTTTATTTTAAAAATTCTTTGTGAATATTGTGGTAATGCTCTGTAATGATTATGATTRAATTTCACTTAATGTCAAGTGTTTAAATAAAATTTAAAAATTTAAATGTGTATCATATGATTGTTGTGAACTGAACCAATCTATTTTTTCAGCCTCAACTCGGGTTCTTTTTGGTTACATAGATAGCAGCTTCTAAAGTTGAAATGGATTTGGGGTAGCAGTTCCCTTACATCCTCATTACCAGATTACCATAAAACATGTCTTAGGCCACAATCTGCCTCACATTCAGACATTTACTAAACAAACAAGCACAAAAGTATACTCAATGCAGTTTTAGTTTTCTGTCCTTTTAGATTCTTGAACCAGCC